TATAATTATTTATGTTAATCAAAATTAAGATTCTAATTAATTTATAATTAAAACACAATTTTCTCATCAAATTTTCTTAACAGACATTACAATTTTCTTGGCAATCAAATAAATTGAAATCATTTTCTCAACATCCAAACACCTAAACTGTATAATTTTCTAGCCAAGCAAATGGAAACCCATTAAAAATTGCTTATTTGCCCATCGGTCACTGCTTTTGTTCTTTCCATCGCCGGCTATGTTCTTTTCATTTTGAACATTAAAATCATTTAAACAATAATTAGAAAATATGAAGCAAAAGGATCCCAAAAATCCTTCACAACCTGTAATTTGTGTAAACTCTTCGCAACAAATATATAACCAAAAAAAAAAGTGGAGCTGGGTTCGATGGAACTAGTTGCTGGGTTTGAGGGAACCTAACAACACATAGGAAGAAGAGGAAGACGAGGAAGAAAGAAAAAGAAGAAAGAAAGGAAGAAGATGGATCGAAAGAGGGGAAGAAGGTGGATCAAGAAAGGGAGACAAGAGTATTAAGGTAAATTTGTAGTTTTTTATTTTTATATTAAAAATATAAATGCTAATCTAATTTGATATATGAGTTTGCGTTTTTATTTGGACATGTAATTAAATTATATGATGTGTTATTGCTATGTCATAAAAGAATTAAAAGAAAATGCCACGTGAAATTTTTTAACTACCATGTCACAAAAACCTGACGGAGGGATTAATATTGTACATTTTTTAGAATTGAAGGATAAAAAAAGTGCATAAAATACTTTAAGGATAAAAATGTGCAAAGTGATAAAGTTGAGGGACCAAAATGAGTATTTAACCTTTTGAAAAAAAAAACCCAAAAAAACACCAACACCCACGATATGATTAGCACATGTGGTGTGACATATATTTCTTTACCATTAGCTCACCTCATGCGTAACAAATTAAGTTATTTAAATTTAAAATTAACAACAAATTAATTCATCACATTGAGAGTATTGAAAAAAAAATGTTTTCGTTTGCATTTCTATTTTAAATTTTATTATTTTTATAAAATGC